CCTATGGAGGGCGTCGACAACTAATTCTCTCAGTGCTTCACTCAATGCAAACATATTGGATGTCGGTATTTCTAGTACCGGCAACCACAATCCATGAAATTGAGCAGCTTTTTCGTAATTTTTTATGGAATAAAGCAGAGGGTCAGATGGGTAAATGTCGAGTTGATTACGTGGGTGGAGTGCCTTCTCGGTTTTAGATCTTATGGGTTTTTCTTGCCTTTTGTTTTTTGGCTTATGGTTTTCTTATGTTTTGGTGTAATTCCTTTTGTCATTTTTGGCTCCTTATGACTTGGTTTGTGAGTCAAAGTTGCCGTAGTTTTTCTTGTTGATTGCTTTGTATCGGTGACGCTTTTTTACTGTCTTTATAAAATTACCTGGGGAAACTCTTCCCCTTTCAGTAGTACCACTGTAACTCAATTGAAATCTAATTGGAGAAATAAACTCATTAAACCCATTACGTCTCATTAAACCCAAATAGTGTCATTTTGACCCAATTAGAGTCTTTATAAAGAAGTGGGACCAATTAGGGTCCAACGAGATTATTTGTGATCCATTTAGTGTCATTTTGATAAAAATGACACGATTAAAAGAAATGTGCACATTCTACCTACTAGGATCAAATGGACCCATTAAGGACTATTCTACGTCAATTAGTCACATTAACGTCTAGTTATACTAACTACGACTCATTTAGAATCATTTTGACCCAATTAGACGCTTAAAGAAGAAATGGGCCCATTACGCCCAATAGGGTCTAATGAGACTTATTATGACCTAGTTAGTGTCATTTTGACCCAAATGGACTTCTGGAGGAGAAATAGGCTCCAACACGAAATGGACCCAGTAAGGACCAAAAAAACCCATTCAACCCCACTTACTCTCGTTAACTTCTCATTAGACTAATTGTGACCGATTTAGTACCATTATAATTCAATTAGATTTAAATTGGAGAAAGATGCCGATTATACCCATTAAGGTCTGATCAAACTAAATATGACCCAATTAGACTCCTTGTAAAGAAATGGGCCTATTAAACCAATTTGGGTCCAATTGGATTCATTATATGATCCGTTTAGTGTCATTTTGAGATGAATGACTCAATTAAAAGAAATTGGCACATTCTACCTACTAGGACCAAAAGGACCAATAAGGACCCTTAAGAACCATTATACCTCAGTTAGTCACATCTGTCTTTATAATATTGCCTGGGGAAAATCTCCCCTTTCAGTATACCAATTATGACTCATTTAAGTATCATTTTGACACAATTAGACTCCTCAAGTAGAGATGGGGCGCTTTTGCCTATTAGGGTCTAATGAGACTAATTATGACGTAGTTAGTGTCATTTTGAACGAATTGGACTTCATAAGGAGAAATAGCCTATTATATCCTCTAACACGACATGGACCCATTAAAGACCACAAAAAACCCATTCTGCCTTACTTACTTTCATTAACTTCTCATTAGACAAATTGTGACCGATTTAGTACCATTATAATTCAATTAGATTTAAATTGGAGAAAGATGCCGATTATACCCATTAAGGTCTGATCAAACTAAATTTGACCCAATTTGACTCCTTGTAAAGAAATAGGCCTACTAAACCAATTTGGGTCTAATTGGATTCATTATATGATCCATTTAGTGTCATTTTGTCTAAAAGAAATGGGCGCATTCTACCTACTAGGACCCAATAAGGACCCTTAAGAACCATTATACCTCAGTTAGTCACATTAACGTCCAGTTATACCAATTATGACTCATTTAAGTATCATTTAGACCCAATTAAACTCCTCAAGTAGAGATGGGGCGCTTATGCCCATTAGAGTCTAATGAGACTAATTATGACCTACTGAAAGGGGAAGAGATTCCCCAGGCAATTTTATAAAGACAGTAAAAGAGCGTCACCAATACAAAGCAATCAACAAGAAAAGCTACGGCAACTTGACTAATTATGACCTAATTAGTGTCACTTTGAACCTATTGGACTTCTTAAGGAGAAATAGCCTATTATATCCTCTAACACGACATGGACCTATTAAGGACCACAAAAAACCTATTCTGCCTCAGTTACTTTCATTAACTTCTCATTAGACTAATTGTGACCGATTTAGCACCATTATAACTCAATTAGACTCAAATTGGAGAAAGAAGTAGATTATACCCATTAAGGTCTGATTTATAGTAATAATCTCCGCTCTTCAAATTTTTGGATGGTTCGTAAGAATTCTAATTGGTCTTGGGTTTTTTGTAAACTTTTAGACTTGCGGAGTCATTTGCGTCGGTTTCTTTTCTCTCAAATTGGTGATGGTCGGAACACGAATGCTTGGGAGGATGCTTGGTTATCTTGTGGTCCTCTTTCCACGTTTATCTCTTACCRGTTTGTCCATTCTTGTGGGTYCTCTACCTTAACGACGGTTCGTGATCTTATTCTAAGCTGGAATGGTAATTGGCCTGCTGATTG